CACACACACACACACACACACATACACACGCAAACACACACACCCCGGACGCTCAGTACCACAGCAGGTTTCTTTCACATTGTGCTCACAAAAGAGCAGTCCTGGCTGTCTGGCTGAGGGGATTGAGGCAGTCCCTGGGGGCTGAGTAAGCGTCATTCATTGCAAGATTCATCTGTGGCTTCTGATAGTCAGAATCTGCAATCTCCGAGGTTAAACACCCGCTGGCTTTGGGCTGATCGTAGCCTGGATCGGCGGGCTCAGGGCTCTGAGGCATCTGGTAGCCCGAGGCTCCCGCTCCTACTGCCGGGGAGAAACTGCCAGAAGAGAGAGAATGTTTGTGTGCGGGCCTCGGCCCCGGGACGCGGTAGCCGCTCTGCGCGGAGAAGGTGTGCGCGCGGGCCAGGTGCCGCTCCACAATGGGCGTGGCGTACTCGGGCTCGGGGTTGGTCAGGGGCAGGGCGTACTCGTGGCCACGGCCGGCCGGCAGGGGGCAGTCGTAGTGGCCTCGGGCCTCCGTGCTCGCCCGGGCCTCGTTGGCCTCAGTGTCCATCGGCCGGAAGGTGGAGCCCTTCCTGGTGACTGTCCCTGTGCCGATCATGAGAGGCTGCTGGTAATCTGAAATGGAGAGGGCAGAAGTCACAGAGTTTGCACCACAGCGATAGAACGGTCAGCTGTTTGCAGAGGAAAAAGCTCTGCTAGACCAATCCTCTGCAGAGTACATCACATGTCCTGTACCGAGAAAGAGGCAGAGGTAGATACCACATCAGGGGATATGCTCCTGCTTAGGAAGCCCCAAAGGGAAGTGGAGAGGCAGCATTTACCATGGGGGGGATGGGGGTGCATCACGGGACTTTTAAACTGGCTCTAGAAATGTTTTGGAGTTGGGCGTTAACACTGTGAGAAAAGGGAAAAGAACCACCATACAGATAGACTTTGATGGATGAGTATGAGGGACTTGGAGTAGTGTAATGCGATAGACAGAAATGCTAAAGGGGACTAATAGTACGAGAGTGATAACCATGAAGCTCACTCTTACTGAGTCCTTGCTCTATGCCAGAAGCTGCTCTAAGGTATTAAGATTTAATTATCAAAAAAAAAAAGTATTATAAGGGTAGGAATTATTCCACTTTACAATTGAAAACCGAAGCAGAGAGAGATGAAGTCACTTTTAGAAGATCACACAGCTTAGCAGCCAATGAAGCCAGAATTCAACACATCCCAAATGTTCTGTTCACCATACGGTAGTCATGAGAAATGCTGAGTGCTTGGCTCAGAAGTTTGCTTCACCTTTTAGGAAGCTCACAAAGGATTCTAAATAAAAACTGACACAGTTAGAGGTAACTCTGGAAGAACACCGAGGAAGGAAAGATTGCAAAGAAATAGAAAAGAGAGAGAAGTAAAACAGATGTCACAAACCAGGAGACGGGCAGCAGCCTTGGAGAAGCTACAGTTTGGGGACAGGAATCAGAGGAATTTACTACCAATGATGTGGAGTGTGAGGAGAGAAGGGGGCCAAGGACACTCCTCAGACATTCAGCCTGGGAAGCCTGGAGGCTCAGTGAGCAGGAATGCACTGTGTGGGGGGGTGAGAGTTGGTAACAATTCCAGTTTGGGCACGGGAGGAACCCGTGACGCTTGCAGATGGAGATGTCCAGCAGGTAGGAATGACTGACTTAATAGGGACCCAGAGAGAAGTCTGGAGGTGAGTAGAGCAGACAGAAATGCAAGGAGGGCTCTGGGGAAGCCTTGGAGAGGGGGAGAAAACCCAGCGAGCGGAGAGACTAGGGTGGGCAAGAGCAGGACCAGGGACATGTAAGGAGTCAACAAAGAGGAGTAAGGAGGGAAGAGAGGCCAGGAGGGAAGCTGAAGGGGATGAAAGGAAAATGAGGAGAAACAAAGGGTTCTCCCTTCTCCTTCCTTCAGTCCCACAGGAGACCTAGAATTGCTGGGAGCAAGGAGCAAGCAGATGGACTGTAGCTGAGGAGTTGTTCCCTCAGCCCCAGGAGCGCCTCCTTTCTATAGGACCCTTTCTGAACACACACAGCACCTGAGAACTTTCGGTTTAGTCAGCCTGCAGCATGGACCAAATTTCCAGCAAGTCCCCAGATGCTGCTGCTGCAGGTGGTCCACAGACCACACTCTGAGTAGCAATGAGCTAAGTCAGTGCTACTCGGCAGCGTCCTCAGAGCCTTGTGTATCTGTTTGTGACAGGTCTGCAGAGACAAGCAACCAGATTGGGAGCAAGTGTTCCGAAACTGACAGCAACTTAAAGAGAATAACTTCATGTCCGCTGACTCTGATAAACTGAAAAATGGATCTTTCCTCACAGATAGTTTGAGAAGCACAGCTCTCAATATGGCTTGTCAAGGACACCAAAGTCACTCAAATGTCGGACCGGTACCCCCATCTTCTAAATCCTCCTCCTCAGGGTCAGCAGCTGTCCTTACTCTTTCTAGCTCTTCCTAGTGTCTTAATCAAAACTGTGGTAACAAAAATAGGTTAACTAAGGGCTCCTAGATCTTCGTGGAAAATCAGGGTCACTGCTGTGAGCAGACTACCAAAGGATACAGAACCCTGGTTGAACTGAGGGACTTTGGAGAAATATGTGAGCATCAGTCTGTAAATGCACAGAAAGGAAACTTCATACATTACTGGCTTACGGGACCACAATAAAAGAAAAGGATTTCAGTCTCACTTCTCTCTGGTCTCCCGAGTCCCGCAAGCAGCACCTCCTGCTGGACAGCACTGCCCCAGAGCTGGACACTCACCTGCCATGTCACTTGTGATGAGATCCAACTTTTGTGTCATTTCCTTTCCATTGTCATAGCTGATGGTGAATTCGGTGGACTGATGTCTGGCAAAGGGATATTTAATCTGCTTCCAGCAGTCTGGAATAAAGATAAAATGGACCAAACTGATATCACAGAAGCATTGTGCACATGCTCCAGGAGATGCTCTTCCAGGGGACCAGTCAGGCCACTGTTTGCAGACTGACCTCTCAATGCATGCGCTCCAAGTGCTGTGGTGGAATCAGCATGCTGAGGTCATTATAACAACAGTAAAACCATCCCAATCATGCTCCCACTGTGCCTTTAAAACCTGTCTGTGTCCTCATCGGGCCTCAGGTCAGCCTATGTTTGGCCCTGCCTGCATGTGGTTTCATGGTCTGTATGGACACAGCATTCATGACTCAAAAGAACCGGCACAGTCAGGGGTCATCACAGGTGATCCCAAGTGGTCCTTGAGGTTCTAGGGGTGTCGCCTGCTGCCGACTCAACTCATTGCTTCGGCATCCTGCATCCTAAGGACGCGCTAATACCTAGTGCTGGTTGTTCGCCCACTTTTCCAGAGCAGAAAACACAGTGGGAATCTGAAGATGCTGAGAGCCACAGACAAGGTTCAGTTCCCAGATGGGGCTTTTTTGACTTGCCTGTGATGACAAGCAGTGCGGAGGCCTAAACTCCACTGCCCCCCCCCCAAAAAGAGTATTGATGAATAATGATGATGTTGAACCAAAGGAAATTCTGAATTAAAGGAAATAGCACACAATACATACTTATTTTTCAGCCATTTAAGTATGGACCACAAAACCAATGCTTATAAGCAGATTCTGTCCCTTCCTTAAAGAGCGAGCATTAATGTATTAACCAACCTGTTTTCTGAGCCTTAGCTGATGCGTAAGGATTTCCTTTCTTCTTTCTCCTATTGAGAGCAAAAACAAAATACAAAAACTACTGAAAAGATTTCTAAATGATAAGTATTGCTTATTAAATATATTTGATACTTTTACCCCTACTAACTTGTTTTTAAATTAAAAGCTAACAATTTAATCTCAGAACAAATGCTACATGAACATCTACCACATAAATGTCTCAGGTTTGCGACTGTTTACATCACTAGAGAAGAAATTAAAAAAAATTAAAGTCACATACTTTTTAATGACTGTGAAGATTGCCATTCCAGCACCCAGCAAGATGAGGAGCCCCAGCGGAATAACAACAGCTGTGATGTTTATTCCTAAGAAAGGGAGAAGCCCTTCGTTACGGTACATTACCACACTTCCCACACTTCTGATCTAAAATGGAACATTGATTGGAAAGGACTTCAATAGTTTTAATATGTGGGAAAAAAGGAATACATGCTAGGCATTTTTTAATTGGAACGCAGAAAAGAGAAAATTCAAATCCTGGCCAGAGCTTAGGAAATTTTTTTTTTCAAAGTCAACTCCCAGTGTTCCTTGGGGATTAACATTTAGTCTGAACTTGCTACTCGGACCATATTAGACTGACAGAATTGACAGGAAGCCGACCTGACAGGAAGGTTTAAGGGCTGGCCACCCAGCCAGGAGCTATTCAGATAGGTGAATGATTTAAGCACAGAGGGCACTCTCAGTTTGGCTCAAACAATCAACCTCACACTCTCCCCCAGGGTGGTGGGCTTGGGCCTATACAATAATAAAGGCCCAGGGAATCAGGGTTCTCTATTATCAAAGCTTTGGAGCTAGGGGCTGAAAGGAAATGCAGAGATGGCCTCAAATACCATTTCTAGTTTGCAGTGTGCAGCCCAGATTGTTTCTTCCCACATCTTCTGTTTTAGAAAAGGAAGTCACCTTAGAGTCACTGAAGCAGGCCCTTGCTTGCAGAAATTATGCAAACTAAAGGAGAAATGTTTGTTCTTTAGTCTTTTTTATCTATGGTTCTTGGGAAGAAAATGAAGGGAGTAATCAGGAGTAGAAAAGTGTGGTTCATGAAGGGAGGATAAGGATCTTAGAAAGGAAGATTTATGTAAATAATAGCAGTGCTCTTTAGGGGAATGGAAATTTGAGAAAAATCTAACAACTCATAACATTCAATGATATGTCTACACACACGTGTGTATTAGTGATTGTGCTTTTAAACTATTTAATAATATTAAAAATACTCATATACATAATGTTATGTAAAAAAAATGCTACAGAACAGAATATATGGACTTTTGTGTCAAAGTTATACATACAAATACAATACAAATGATTGGATATAGTGCTAAGGGTGGTGACTTTTATCTGATTTTTTTTTAAAAGATTTATTTATTTATGCTTACAGAACTGGGGTACAGGCCAGAGGTATGGTAGGTGAGAGGATTCACCAGAGACAGAGTGGGGAGCAGAACAGGCAGATCTACTGAAATACATTTCTGAGGGGAGCAGCAGGCAGGTCAGGAGAGCTCTGGCACATCACATAGCTCATTTCCCTGACTGGGGATCGAACTTGTGCTGCAGTGGCTTCGGAGAGCTTCATAATTCGATGCTTTAACCTGTTGCACTACCAAGGAGAGCCCTCCATCTGATTTTTATTTCCCTTTCAGGGTGCTTCAAGCTTTCCAAATTTTATAAAATATGCAAATTATTTCATATTCTGAAAACAACAAGTGTATGTTTATTGTTCATTACTTGACTAAGTCATACAGCTTGTTAAAAATTCAAGAATTTAAAAAGGTATTAATTTGACACCTTCCTCCTACCTCTGACCACCTCCACAGGAAGCCAAATTATGTTTCCTGGCATTGTTCTGAAGATACGGGAATGAATATATCTTTATTCACCCCTCTTTTACACATATGGTAGAGTGCTATACAGTCTCTTTGCACCTTGTTTATTAAATTGTCAGTAAATCTCAGGGAGCTTTCTATAGTAGTAGTACATTCTTTTCATTCTTACAGAATATTCTATTTCATGGGTGTGCAAAATATCAAGTGTTCATGTAGCGTTTGAAGGGCAAATACTACCTTTCTATTTACAACCATCCAAGGAATAGTTATGGACCAATGTCTTTTTATACCAGGGCAGATACATCCTCTGGATCATCTGCCTCCACACATTTGTGTAACAGAGAAAAAAAAAAATCAGTGAAGCTAGTGAAATATTGAATGCGGCCCCAGCTACACTTTTTTTTTTAAGGTTTATTTATTTATTCATATGGAACTGGGGTAAAGGCCAGAGATGCGGAGGGTAAGAGGCTTCACCAGAGACAGGCTGGGGAGCAGAACAGGCAGATCCACTGAACTATACTGCTGAGGGGAGCAGCGGGCGGGTCAGGAGAGATCCGCCACGCCATGTGGATCTCCTCCGGGCCAGGCGGGAATTGAACTCATGCAGAAGTGGCTTAAGCTTCTTAGTGCAGTGCTTTAACCCGCTGCGCCACCAGGGAGGCTTTACACTTTTTTTTTTTTTTTTTTAGGCTTTACACTTTTAAGGAAACCATGAAACACTAACTCTTCACCTGTGTGTATTTCTTCAGGGGGCATGGATTTTGTGACCATCTCCTCTTCTCTTTTAGTTGAACCAACACTGGGGCTTGTTTTGCGCCACACCAATGAGTCATTGCCTGAGAGAGAAGAGATGTTGCAAATACCACATCCATGACTATAGTTTGTGAAAGTTGATGATCAGAATCAAATAATCACTGAGCTTCCCTGAGTCGTACTTGGTGTAATCTGGCAACCGATCAACTCCACCTTCAGAGCTATCCTCTGGTGCCATGTCTGGGGCACAACCCGCAAGTATCTGGCCACGATGGGGGGAATGAAATTGTTCCTCACGGGATCCCGAAAATTAGAGTTGCCCTGAAACACCTGTAGAAAGATGTTACTTTTACTGGGGGGTATACACAGTGCTAGGAAACCAAAGCTTATCCCACTTTTGTAGATTCTGTTGATATTAAAGATAAAAGTCTTTTCAAAATAAAAGGAAGACGTTTTTGCAAGATGGGGCCGCTAGTCTGTTTTCGGTAAGTACTCTGTTGAAAATATTTGGAGGTAAGATCTCCTAGTCAGTTCTTCCTTCCAGGGTTTCTCTTACCTTTTCCTCTTTATTGACAATTCCTTTATAGGTCTTCCACTTGGTGTTATTGTTTTTGAAGTTTATCACAAAACTCTTAACATAAAAGTTGAAATTTGACTGTGTGGATCCTGTGGTCCTAATTCCTTGTAAGAAAATATTATTTATAGGTTAGTTTTAAAAGCAGAGGTAACTCTGTAATAATTTCAGGTATCTTTCTTTTCTCCCCCCACCCAATTTAAATCTTACGTCATTTACAGGCCAACTTTTCTTATTAGCATTTAGAAATCTGACCCTTGATGAATGTTTTCATACTGACAATGTGTCCCTGAGGTTAGCAGCTCTCGAAGCCATACTTCTACATTGACAGCTAGCATAAAGGTAGATGTAAATTGAAGCCATGATTTCAAATGCAAGTTATTTTGCACTGGTGCAACTAACTGAATTTTGTGTCAACACCTGTTATTTTCTTTTTCTCTCCTAAATCAATCTCCAGCCACTCTCGTTGCTTGTGGTTTTTGGTGCTATCCCCTGAAGCCCATGACGGCCCTTGGTCCTGAAGTCGGGCTTGGCCAGGAGACCAATGTACTCGTTCTTTGATCTCACTGATCCACTGCCAAGAAGAAGAAGCTCTGATTTGCCCATCAGGTTCCAAACTCAAGGATCTGCTGCAACCTTGGGGGAAAAAAAGAACAAGAACAGGTTTCAGTTATAGAAACAAAATAAAAGTGAAAAGAAAAATCCTATTTCACTCAGAATTATTCTGTTGATTTATTTTCATCCTGATGTGAAATCAACCATTTTACAAGTTAAAGCCTAAATTTATTAATATGACAATGTCTTGAAATTGTTGCTACTTTTCTTTTCATGTGGCCTCATCAAAGTCGTATCACCTATAGTGACATTGCTTTGTCCCCACTATAGATTTTCCTTTCTAACTGAAATTCACTCAGTGTCTTAAAAGTTTGAAGTGCTGAGATTCTTTTCACTTGATTAGAGAGGTTCCCATGCTCTGTATCTGTCACTAGCAGGTATGTCCAGGGGCTCAAAACAGTAAATTTACCCAGCATTCAGCCTAAGACCTTAACTATAGTATGCCCGAGCAAATTATGGTCATACTCTTCTTCTAAAGAAGACATGTTCATATTGTTCTCCCTGGAATATTTTACTTAACAGTGAGATAATATTCACACAGTAGATATTCCATGACAGAGGGGTTAAAAAGTCTTAATTTTTATCTGCTCATGTTCAATAGCTTTACTCAAACTACCCCCAAGTCACAAGGCATTAATTAATGATTTTTTTCCCTATTGAAAGCAAACATAAAGCAATTGATCTTAAATATGTTCCTTCTTGGCAAAAGTTTAAAAAACTTAGATTATAAAGAAAAATATGTTCTCCTTAATGCTAATTGGGTGTGTGTGTGTGTGTGTGTGTGTGTGTATGAAGTGTATGGAAGAATAAACTACCATGAAATATTTTAGAATACCAAGTTTTAGTAGATTTTCCATTTATTTCCTTGTTACAAGCCTTTTTATAAGTTTTATTTATTTATTTATTTGCCTTAAGCATTTTCACTACTAACTGTCTGCCACACAATTGAATATCAAGTTTTTAAGAAAAGCACGGTCCTTACCACTGGACGTAAACAGAAACCGCTTGTCCGACAGGGAACCGCTGAAATAGTAAACACAACATGAGCAGGTGAGTGGATCCTAATGACTGGCATAGTGCCATAGCGGGGCACACCTCAGGGAGCCTCAGAGCAACCAGCAAGGCAACTGGTGTCCCCTGCACCATTACTGCCTTAGAGATCAGGACACTCAGGGCCACTTAAGGTGAGCGATGCTCTGAAGTTCCGAGAGAAGCAAATGGCCAGGATTCTGAGAAACTCACTGCTTTTGAAGAGAGCCAGTGCTGTGTCCATTGGGTTTTGCTGGTCTGGGGAGAATGTTCTCAGGATCAACCTTAAATCCCAAGCATTAAATCCCTTAAATCCCATGGTGATGGAGATAAAAAGGGTCACTACCTTCAGTAGTTAGGGACCCCTTGGAGAATGGAAGAAACCTTTGGAAGAACCAGCATACTGTCTGTGAGTCCATGGACTTGCTACTTTTTCCCTGGGGTAGGTGTGGGGGCGTGTTTCTGGCCAGCACTGTTGCTAATGGATGGCCTATGGCCAGCTCCTCTCTCCTGTCACAAGCTCATGCAGTGTACAGCCAGCACCAGGTCGGGAACCAGCTCTGGCTTCTGGATGAGGAGGAGCAGCTTGGAAAAAGCTCACAGTCTCTCATGGGGCTGGTCTGAATGGGGCACCCAGTGCTGCACAGTCCTGTCTCCTGGCACTGATCCCCTGGTCTTTGGGGACCTACACATATATTGCTCTCACAGGTGAACTGATCAAGTCACTTTTGTTTTGTAGTTGTCATTTTTAATGGAGAAGAAATTCTGAAGGTGGAAGACTATCTTTTAAAAAACCCTCATTGGGCCCTCTCTGGTGATGCAGCGGGTTAAAGCACAGCACTAAGAAGCTAAAGACACTTCAGCATGAGTTTGATCCCTGCCCCGGAGGTGCTCACATGGTGCTGCAGACCTCTCCTGACCTGCCCGCTGCTCTGCTCAGTGGTGTACTTCCTCAGTCATCCTGTTCTGCTCCCCACTCTGTCTCTGGTGAATCCTCTCACCGCCCCTGCACCTCTAGCCTGTACCCCAGTTCTGTATGCAGAAATAAATAAATCTTTAAAAAACAAAACAAAGCAAAAAAAAAAAAACCTCATCAACTCAATACAAGAATATGTTAAAAAAATAGAAAATTTGGGATTCTCAAGATTAATCTTATGCACATAATACTTATTATATTAGATACCGGATGTAAACATGAAAAGGTCAATATCACTATTGTGCTCAATTATTTTTCAACCTGAAAATTTGCTATTTAAAATATTTAAATATTTAACTCTAAGTTACATGTGGTAATAATAGCTAGTGAAACTATCTAATGGTGACATCTATAGAGAATTCAAAAATACTCTGGACAAGTATATAAGACTTTCCCATCAAAATGTTTTTTTTTTAAACCTTTTTTTGGGGGGGTGGGTAGGAGTAGTCTTAGAAAGAACAAATAATTAAAGTCATGCTCCCTGAAATGGATTTGCTTTTTCACAATCTTTGTCTACACTTAGACAGAGACTCTAGAGTCCTTACATTCTACAGAAAGCTTCTATTATAATCTCAGGTTTGAAGACATGAAAAAACTCAGACCCACTTGGACCCTGGAACATGCATAAATTCACAGCCAGTGGCAAAGTGAGGTGAGGACTCAGCTCCTATGATCCTTAAGGAAAGGTGTTGTCATGCATAATTAAACTCTTACAAGATTTATTCACAGCCTCTTTTGACTGTTTTTTTTTTTTTCATTTTTTCTCATGTTCCTGCATTACACTTGAAATTTAGCCCAAAGAACACTGCTGTACCTCTGAGAACTGAAGCTTTCTCCCACTGCCATGAAATATTAAATTATTATGATCTTCTTGTTATAAGAAGCTGTAACAGGAAAGATAATTCTGGAGTTAACCCTGAAAAAAAGACACCAGGGAGATTCTGCTTCTAATAGTTCTTTGCCTGGCTTCCCTCCACTATCAGCTGGAAAATGTTTTTCCATTTCATTCCATTAAACTAATTAAATTGACTACTTAGAAAATTCTATACATAAGTAAGTAAGCCTATTCTTTTAAAAATGAAAACACTCCAGAGGTTTGGGGTTCCCAGGCATTCACACTTTAGGGCGAATGAATTTAGTCCCATTACAGAAATCATCTGCCTTCCCAGAAAGCCACTGAAGCAATCAAGAATAGTCTGAGGTAAACAGAAAGGAAAGCCTCCTGTCTGATGGTTTGAGCGTCATTCTCTGTGTGAGGTCATTCTCTCTTCCTGACTCCATTCTGGTCTCCTCAAATCAAGGAAGTGACCTGACCCAGGACGAATCCCAGAAGAACCCTGGATATTTACTTTAGGGATTTCTTTTTCCTCAGCTGTGATGCTTTCTTCTGTGTTTTTTCCTGAACACCAAACAAACATGTGTGGGAACAGAAGTTCAATGACCATCTGAACAGTGGTCCCCCAACAGCAAATCCCCATAGATTAAAACAACTTCTCCCTGCAGATCTGAGATGCCAAATGAGTGGAAGGCCAACTGCATCACCATACAGTTTATTCTTTTCTGCTCAGGGCAAGAAATTCACAAAAGGAAGTCACAGAGGAAGAAGAGATCTTGCTTAATTCTGGACTTTCTGGTTACTCCCATTAACCCCCAAATTAGACAATTTGTTCGAACATCTTCATGGACTGTGGAGCAAAATGTTTTCTAATTCATGCATATTTTAGACTGCCACACTGTTCTTTTCACGTCAAAACTTAATTGCAATTAAAAGCCTTGCATATGTATAAGCATGGTTTATAAAACAGAAGTTATTGAGAGCATAATACGTAGTTCTAGTCAATGTTTTGTAATTGCTCATCAGATGTAAAATAAAACCCAAATAGCATAAGTTAAACTGTTTACTATCCTACTTTTCTACAAAAGAAGCATTCAACTGTATACAAACTAGGCAAGAGATTAAAAAAAAGAGATTTCAAGTCAAATGCCAGTTTTGTTCCTATCTGGAGACAGCAGCACCCAGCAAATGCAGGTCAGTGTCTTATAGTTTCCTGAAGCAGTCCCTGGTGTGAATAGAAGGAACCATAAAAACAAAACTGAAAAAGATCCTCAAAAGTCAAGCTTGAGCTGTCATTTAAAGCTTACTGTACATAAACAATCATATTTACTAAAAATCAGGTCATAAAATTTAATGTTCCGGAGTTTGAGATAAACACATTGAAAAAAAAGTACACACATGTGTGTCCACATGCATATACACATAACACACATGTATGTATGTATGTATGTGACTTTATAGTATAGTTGTGTACTTTACTCATTTGAATAAAGCTTATAAGGTGTGAGTTTTATTTATTTGAATGAGAATTTAATTTGTAAAGCCATTTTTGTTAGCATGATTTTAGATGTAAGATGGGCAAATTTGTCTTTGGATGATTAGATAATACAGAACAACAGACTGGGACTTCTCATGGCTCAAAACCCCATCCAGAGGGGAAGTAAATGGCAGACCGAGTACAGAAATACAGAGAGGAGAGCTACGTGCCCAAGAGTGACACATGTCCTGTCCCCTGTGGATGACTGCCTTTTACAGGTTATCTGCAGCCTCACTTGCATTGCTGATAAGAGTTGGACTGGGGCCCTCCCTGGTGGCGCAGCGGGTTAAAGCACAGCACTAAGAAGCTGAAGCCACTTCAGCATGAGTTCAATTCCCGCCTGCCCCGGAGGTGACCACATGGCGTGGCAGACCTCTCCTGACCAACCAGCTGCTCCCATCAACAGTGTACTTCACTGTTCTGCTCCCCACTCTGTCTCTGGTGAATCCTCTTACCACCCCTGCACTTCTGGCCTATACCCCAGTTCTGCATGCACAAATAAATAAATTGTTAAAAAAAAAAAAAAAAGAGTTGGACTGGAACACCCTCTCTAGTTACCTCTACCTGTACCCCAAACTCAGAACTGCCAGGGTAGGGTAGCTCTGCTCTTCTCCTTAGCTATCCACCAGCCAGCCTGCTGAATGTGAGCATGGTCACAGTCACCAAAACCCTCTGGGTTCCCTTCCCACAACTCTGCGTGTGTCCTCCTCAGCCTCGCCTTTTCTTCTATCAAATCTAAGGCTTGCCTCTTTGCGAAGGTGACCCAACCAATTTCTTCAACCTCAGTCTTTGCTTCCCAACCCCCAACCCTGTGAGCTTAGGCCAACACCCTTAACTCAGAAATGGGCTATAGTCCTCAATTTACTTGAGCTCATAAACTAGTTCTTTGGAACTTAAAATATGTTCTTATAAAAGGATTATCAGGATGATCAGGATCTCTAATATGACCCACAATCTTGCTGAACTAGAATTCACTCAAATAAAAAGGAGGAAGGGGAGGAAACTTTCTCAAAGTGACATGCTAACTAACTTGGAAATCTCTCACCTATAATGTGACTTTTTATCACATACGTGGTCTACAGCCCCAGGTTAGAATGGAACAGTGAAACGTGATCCTGTTCTTTCTGCAGGCAAGAGGGGCTGAGGGCACCATGGAAGGGGGAAGGGGCCTGAGATCTACACACAGACTAGCCAGTCCAGACTAATTTTTCCTACATTTTCCTAAATGCTATAGCCTCTGTCCATGCCATTTCCTTGGAATCAAAATGATGTGCCAATATTCCCCCCCACCCCTCAAAATGTGTTGCAATAGCAATAGGCTGTTTTCGGGACAGACAGAGAAGGAGGGCGAAGTAGAATAGCTTGAGGAACACTTTCCCCTCACTGGGCACCCACCCAAAGAGCCTCCCTCGGGACCACTCCAGGCTGCCCATTTTTATGTGTGGATATCTGCACCACAAGCAGTGTCTATATTTAGTTCTAACAGCTCTGTTTTTTTTTCCTCTAGAAACATTAAAAGTTAAAGTTGAAATGCTAAAAGGAATTGGCATACTTTTTTCTTATGAAACTAAGAGCATGAGGATAACATCAGAGAGAGTTGTTACTACTGTTTGTCTCTTTTACATTTCCCAACTATCATTCACTTTCAGAGACTGTCTCTAGGGTTCTTTGGAAGAACATGGCAGTTCGACACGCATTTATTTCAGTTCCCTGTCTCCCTCAGTGTCTTTAGTCACATTAGTGATTAGCCAGTAAATTTCTAAAGCTGGAAAAACTAATAAGGGATGAGTCCTTATTTTCTCACACTAAAATACCTGAGAATGGAAGTAGTTCCCTACCCTGGGACTTCAGATGCATGCCATTTTAAATTTTGTTGTCAGCATAATCAGTGAGCTTTTTTATTGCTATATTTAATCTTTCACATAAGACCATAAGTGCTTTTCTATGCATTTACACGTATTTTCTGTAGCTGACAAAACCTTGGTATCACACACCTGTGTCCTTTCAAAATTGTGGGATGATTGATTTCATGGTGTCCTTCCAGTCATTACAAAGGTGGAAGTACTTACTCCCTTGAGAGCACGCCATTGGCCAGGATTCCTTCGTATCGGCTTATCCCTTTGCTCTGAAGCACGCTGATCTGACCACCCAATTCATCTGCAATTACTCCTGCATGGATGGCAGCTTTGCACAGTAAAGAGGTCTGAAAAACAACAACACCATCACTCCTAACTTACTAAAGAACACCTTTAAAACACAGAGGAAGTTTTCTGTTTTGTTATTACTTGAGGTCAGGATCCTCATTTGACCTTGCTTAATCTCTAATTAAACTGTTAAACAATGGGGAAGGAGAAAAGTTATCATCTATCTCAAACTGACATCAGAGTTCCCATATTTATGCTAACTTGGGAGCTTATTCACTAGCAAGAGAAACAGGTTATTTACAAGTAGTGGCCTCAGTGAACAACACATCGTGAACAGCCACGAACCTGAGTAGTCACTTCCCCACACTGACGCTTACCTGGGCCAGGTAGCTTACAATGTTCTATTGCAGATAACATGACCCAACCAACACAGGTCTGATAAGTGACCTAAATAAACCCTTCAAGCCCCAACTGGTGAATCAAATGACTGCAGCCTCAGGAGTGATTCTAGGCAAGGAGTGCTTAAGAAATGCTTGGCCTAAACTGCTCACTGGCAAATAAAATGGCTGTAACTTTAAGCCACTAAGTGTTAGGGTACATGCTAAGCAGAAAAACTATTTCTTATATTCACTTTACCAGATGTGCATTCTAAGAGCATTTGAGAAGGTGAATATTCATTTTACAGTGAATTTAGAGATTAAACAAGGTATCAAAACTTCAGTGACAATGTCACCAAAAGGAACAGAAAACTTTGTAGATCTTAGGCTGATAATGAATAACCCAGAGACTGTTAGTTCCACCTCAGTTCCTGGATGTCCTCGGAGAGGGTCAAGCATCCCACAAGTGCTTGTGCTACAGAGCTGCTGGCTGGTGTGGGAGCCAGTGGGAGCCCCTGACTGGCTGCCTGGAATTGACCAACTGGGAAGTGGGGCTGGAGAAAGAACTGGAACTTTTCTAGGAGGTGTGCAGGATCATAGGTCTCTATGAATGCAGACTGGTGTAAAAGGATATTTAGGCAGACAGCCTGGAAACTAGAGGATAAGGATCTTTTTCTAAATAAACTTTTTACAGTGCCCCATAATGACTAATGTCAAAAAGAAAAAAATCAGCCCAATAAACCACAATAAGCCTAGCCTTAATAAAATTGAGAACACTGTGATCTTCAAATTAGAGAATTCATATTTCCCAAAGTAGATTAAATTTGACAAAGTGAGTCAGTTTTTCAATAACTTCCATCATGGCCAAAAAGGGAGGGAGATTTCATGGCAGGGAAAAATATGAGAATTGTGAAACATCGATGCAGATACTACCCTTCCGGGTTTGGGGAAGAGACAGGAAAGAAGAAATTAAAAGGAAAAATGAAACAAACAGACAGTACTCTTTAAACTAAGTGGCCAGGTTGCACTTTGAATTTGCATTCATTACAAAGCTTTTTATCACTCCTTTGGCTTCTTGGGGTACAAAATGAAGGAAACAGTCTTCATAATGGGACTGAGTCCTGAATTTAAGTTCAACAATTTTAGCTTGTCATCTCTCTGCCCTGCATGCACAAGGTGTGCTTATCATCTCACTGCTCTGCACCTGGTCTCCCAATCCCTCCACACAATGAAAAAAGGCCAGTACCTTTTCTGTCACCTATGACTCTAAAGGTCACCCATGCACCTACTGTAGGGTCCATGCAGGCTGTCTCAAACCTAAAATGAAAAGCAAATGGGTGCAGTGGTCTGCTGGAGAGCTGGAGCCCTGGAATCATGTCTTCCTTGGAATTGTTGGGGGGTGGGGGTAGGAGCAGAGATGCCATAGTGTTCGTCCCAGGAGCCCTGCTTGGTCTCACTGGACTTAGCATGTTTCAGGGCTTTCCTGGCTATAAGAGGTCAGGGTCACAGGTCAACAAGCAACAGGACCTACCGGCATCACGGCCAAATACTATCCTCATCTTCTCAGAATCCCAGAGTTGAGGGGACACAATGGTACCGACTCCTTTTAAGGAATATATTTAATTGCAGCTCACATTTTCCTATAATATTAAATACAGACCACAGGATGTGTTTCCAAAACAAGAACCAGCAGATCTGGCTATTGTATTATTATGTTCAAATTATCAGACTTTTCCAGGATTATTTCCTTGTAAAGAAATCCCTCTCTTACTCAACCAATGTAAATAACATTGTTGTGTACTTAAGTTGGAACATTTTGGTATCAAATTAAAAAGTTGACATTCATTAAATTTGTTTTCTAAGAAACTCCTTTTTGAAGAATAGTATAATTTGTACTTTATATTCTTGCTATTTTAAAGTCTCCTTGAGATGCAAAAATTTCAAATATTAAAAAAAAACTGTTCTGAAGGTCTATTTTTGGTTTCTAGATGAGGTAAATCTCACCTAATTCATCAATCAAGGAAATAGATACACAGAATCTTAAGAATTCAAAAATTCCTTTAAGGTTCTCCTTCACCCTCCTACATTGATCATTCCTTTCTCCACCCCACAAATGTATGTGGAGCTTCCCAAAGAAGTACAGGTTGCCCTCACAAATGGTTGTAACATCTGCACTTAACACTTCAGTGACCAGGTCATCATTTCTTGAGACTTCTGTCCCATTTTACTGTTCTGCAATTCTTTATAAGCAGCTCCAACTGGCCTCCCTAAAATTTTCATCAACTGATTCTACTTCTGCCTTTTGGAACTAAACAGGACAAACCAATTCCTTTTCTTTAAGACAACATATTTCTTCCCTAAGACAACATCTGTTCTTCAACAACACCTCTGTAAATTATTTTACAGACCTAATCATCTGAACTCACAGGATATGTTTTGATATTGCAAAGATACTTCTAGTAAGGACTGCCTACAATTTTTCTTAAGATGAAGGCATTGGGGAAGAGACTAAAGATAACCCCCATGAGCTCTGCCTCCTGGCACCCCCTTCTGGGATCCATCTGGGCTTGGCTGGCAACTGAGACTTTGTCTTAGCTAACAGAATATGGTCTTGAGACACCAGGCTCATAGCAATGTTACATTATTGTAATCTGTCCTACTAGAATACTCCCTTGTTAAGAAAACTCTCCCTTACTGGTTTCCAAGAAGTAAGTTGTGACATCAGAAAGGCTATATGGCAGGGAGCTAAGAAGACTCCTCCAAAATCCAGGAAGAAACTGAGGTCCTCCATTACTGAACCTGAAATTAACAGAATGCGGTCAACATTATGTGAGCCAAGAACAAATCCTTACCCAGCTGAGCCTGAGATGAGACTGCAACTCCAGCTGACCCCTGAAGCAGAAAATGCTAACGAATCACCAAACTCCTAAGCCACGGAACATGAAAGATGATCAAATGTGTTGTTTTAAGTCTCTACATATGTGGTAATTATGTTATATAGTAATAACATTTAATATACATGATATCAACATATACCAAAAAAGGTACTAATCAGACCTCTTTGAAGAAATAAATTTTCAAAAGCAAATTCTCCCTCCAGGTAAAAATCATTCTAAAAGCAAATGATACAAAACCAGTTAGTGAGTCAAATAGGAAACCTGTCTGTTAGCACTTGCAAATCATATTACTCAGATCCATCATGCAGAAAGTCATCTCACTTATAGCACCAAGTTAGATTGCTCAGTCAGGAGGAGGCAAGAGGAACAACTAAAATAAAAGAACACCAGACCATCTCTTTTATGCAGAAACTTAAGTTTCTGGCACAGGGCAGGCAAAGTGTAAATAAGAACTTTCTGTTGCTAGGAAGAAAAACTAAACTTCAATTTCTTTCAGGTAACTTCCTGGAATCCCTTAGGGGTAGTCTCACCTAGTAGATTTTCAGTTGAGGTAATATAAATCCTTTCAAGACTTACTCTGTAAGTAATATGAATATCTTGTATCAATCTTATACATAAAGATAATACATGAAAAAGGAAACAAAAAAGCAACAAAACAAACTCCACTGCTCTGAGAACCAGGACCTGCTTGCTTAAAGTAAAAACTAAAGTTCAGTTTTTCCCTTTTGATGGAAATAAATGATCAGTCTGCAAAACTATGTCTATTTTCCCCAAGAAGACACGTCAGTAACTCTTACAAATCCACCACTATAAAGATTTTCATATTTTTAATAATGCAAGTCAATTTTCATAAGCTATAAACCCAACTATTTTAAAGAGCAATGTAAATTAAAAGAAAAAAAGATAACAGATTTCTAGGATGGGGGTCTATAAAGAATGAAAAATGAAGAAAATAAGGACACATTCTTTAGAAAAATGACTTGTTCTTCTAGGAACAATGTATAACCAAGAGAGCCTCAAAAAGTATAAAAAACTGGGTTAAAAGGAGGGAAGGGAACAATATGTATGAGCAGGGCAGATGACTTCATGGAAGTCATGTCTCTACTGTGAAGTAAATGTGCATGTCCTTGGGTCTCTTACATGAACCAACAGGAACATTAAAATAAAGAGAATAAATTATAAGAAACAGGATAATGTAATAAAAAAAATAGATGGAGTTACACGAATAGGTGTTCAAAGGGTTTTATTTACCATTCATTTACAATATGCTTGGCTGGAAACACTAAAAATAGAAATAAATGCATGAATTACCTTGGTTTTTATAGTCTTGCTTCATTTAATATCAGATAAGGAAAACTCAATTATCTACCTACAGAGTTTTATATATTACTGACTTTTACTTTGTAATGAATTGTGGCAAAGCAAGAAGTATTGACTCTTTTTAATTTCCTCCCTACCATAAAATTCCTTCAGTTACTTACATCTCTGTAGCCATCCACCACATTGCCTGAAATGTCTCCTGCTATGTCTCTACAACCAGCTGGGCAGAATTTGCTGGAAAAAGAGAATAAAGTCATTATAATTAAATTAAATTTAAATGCAAAAGTACTACATTGTACTTAAAAGTATTTTCTCTCCTGCATTGAACATGGGGGGATATTTTGTTTTAATAACAAATCAGAAAACTGACAAATCTAAAATGTTACTCTGAAGAGAAGTCTTTACAATTATTTGTTTCATATAAGGATTAATCATAATCTCTGCTTAACAATGAGTTTCCATATTACATCTTAATTGATTTTAAGATGTCTAAGACATATTTTAAGGAAAAAGATAAGTTTCTAAATGTTAAATATAGCATGATCTTGTCTTTATAAATGTTAAAATACACAAAAACTATGTTTTCTGTGGAAAAGACAAGAATTATCTCTGGATTCTCTCCAGGAGTAGGATTTTGGGGACTTAGTTATTTTACTCTGTGACATCCAGATTCACTCCAATAGCACCAATCCAAGAGAAACATAAGAGAAATCACAATGTAATTTTATATAGTCTAGTAGCCACATTAAAATTTAAAAAGTGAAAAAAATGGACAAATATCTATATTATATTCTACTTAACCCAGTATGTTCAAATTTTATTATTTTCACATGTAATAAGCAGAAAAAAATATTGACTTTCCCGTGTTTTTTCCTTATGCCTCCAAACCCTGCAGTGTATTTTATATAGAGAACATCTCAACTTGGATTAGCTTCAGTTTAAGTACTTGTTAGCCACGTGGCTAGTGTTTGACAGTGGTAATATATATTAGGTATGAATTACTTTGCCATTAGGAAAAAAGGTATATTTTCAGCTTTAGTGAAGTATAATTAACAAAATTACAAGATACAAAAAAAAAGTGAAGATACATAATAGTACATCATGATGATTTATATGGATATATTGTGAAAGGTTTCCTCTCAAACAGTTAAAAGTTTCCTCTCAAATAGTCATACATACTTACACACACACACACACCTATTTACATTTGGTAAGGACATATAAATTCTACTCTCAGAAAATTTTATTTATGACATATATTATTGCCAATTCTAATCATGTTACAGATAGGTCCTCAGACCTTACCCAGCAGCTTTTAAAGGTCTGCATACTTTTATCAATCTCTTCCAATTTCCATAATCTAGCCTAACTACTTTCTACTCTCTGTCTCTATGAGTTTGCTAAAAAGGGTTTATTTTAGAAATCAGGATTCAATTTACTTAACAGTCATTTTTCAGAAACTTTCCAGAAACATGTCATGGCATATGGTATAGCTGAAGGAGTTTTACATGATGTGACCTAGATTCTGCTATTATGTTAGCTGTGTGACCTTCATTACTGCAGAAAATTCCTCTTAAATTCAGTTTCCTCATTTGCAGCTCTTTCAAATATCAACAGATAAATAGATAAGGAGCAGTTATATTTCTGTGAAAAAAGTGCTAAAAAGAAAGTCAAAATATTAGAAGAACACTGACGGCTTTGAAGATGAATGCCATATGGCCTGGCTTTTATATATACTACATTACAATAATGTTTATTCGGTCTGTTTAAAAAAGAATGTAGCAGTCCAGATTCCAAAATAGCAGTTGTTTTTAGTTCATTTCCTTTTAGTTTCCTCCTGCTGACTTAGCAAATTAGATGTGCAGCCACATCTAATTATCAAAACTACCCAAATAAATGTTTTGTAATCCTTTCTCATTGCCCTCCTGGAGCACAGCATTACAGCACTAATCAAGGAATTAAGAATAAAAATAACAGGAATTCTATTACAGGTTTACAGCTTCTTATCCTAACTCAGAGCCAAATGTATTTCAGAACTGTTTTTTTTTTTTTTCCGAAAAGGATAACAGTGACAATGAATTTTGTGATATAAGACTCCAGTGGGATCTGTACATATTAACCCCAAACCTTAATATCTCAGCATCACATATATGAATTGTGCAAGTCAAGTACAGAATGACTATATACACTTGTTAATTCATTCTAAATTTGTGGTCAAATTGTTTTCTTGCCACCAAATGAGTATTCAAAAACTTTTTGGCCTTGGCGTGTTGTAAAATTCACATTAGCTACTCACCTGCTAAGTCCAGAGAGCTGTATGTGGCACAAGAAAGCAGCGCTCTAAAGAGCTGCAGCTGCTGATGCTGCTGACAATGATCTTTAGATCAGTGGTTTTCAACTGGGGGGTGATTTTTGCAATTAGAAAACATTTGGCAATGTCTGGCAAAATTTTGGTTATCACAATTGGCAGGTAGAAGTTCAAGGCCAGGGATGCTGTTAAACATCCAACAATGCACAACTTTTCACCAAAAAAGAACAGCCACCCCAACATTTCAGTAGTGCCAAGTTGAAATCCAGCTCTAGGCCCTTTCTTTCTTGATGAAGAAATATACATCAGAGAGATTAATAGCTTTCCAGCTGATATAAGCAGGGAAAAAAGATCACATCCCTTATTCTTACTAGGTTTCTCTATTGTGAGAAAGCCAAAATGAGTCAAGCCCCTTCAAAAATGAGAGAAGTTACTCTTAAATGCTGGCCAGGTTAAAACAAAAACTCCACTTTGGTTCATGGTGATAACAGAACTCTGGGACCAGCAAACTGGCCCAGGGACCAGACGCCGTCTTGTGCTTGTTTCATAAAGTGCATCAGCACACAGGCCTGCTTGTTTGTTTCCAATTTGTCAACAGCTGACTTTGTGCTATAGTAGCAACAGAAACTGTATGAGTAGATGCAAAAGAGATTGGATCGCCTGCAAACCTAAAATATTTACTATCCAGTGCTTCACAGAAAAGATTTGCTCACTTCTATATAAGAAGCCAGTTCAAATATTCCTGGTTTCACAATTGAGGTGGTTTTTAAAAATTAAGAATAAGGAGCTTTATATGGTGGATTGTCAAGGGACAAAATGTACAACACAGAGTACTGCAACACAGCTAAGACTGTATTTACCTGTATTCTGTCTTCAAATAATGGTTGGCTCGCTCCAAACATGTTATTAAATCTGTCATAAAGAAAGATAATTGCAATTAGTGCACTGGATGGAAGCTAGGACACTGTTACTCTCAAGATTTCTTTTTAAATAAAAAGAATTTTAAGCACTTATTTTCTGTTTAAAAAAATATCAAAATTGAAATATTTCTCCAGGATTCAGTTTCCTTCATTTTTTCCCCTATTACCAATGATTTTTTTAAAGTAGCTGTGTCCAATGTGTAGTGAAAGATAACAGAATCTACTTCCAACAGAAAAAGCCAACATTGATTAGTAATTATCTACTACATGCCTACAAAGATTTGTTAACCTCCTCTGGCAGGAGAAAACAATTTCAAAAGTCCAATGTGGTTCATAGTAAGGTTCAGGAACATTTAAAAAAGTTCTCCTATGGCATCCAAATGACCACAGATTCAGTTTACTGAGAACATAGCCTATGACCTTTGATGCATCAGGTCCAAGGATTTGTAATAAAGACACTCAGATACTGTGGTGATGCATTTAGGATCAAGCTAGCATAGTTTCCAAAATGTCACACATTTGCTGCAGTTGGCTTCTCTTTCCTCAAATGTTTCAGTAGCTTCAAGATAAGGTGAATACTGGGCATGCTGGAACCTGCTAGGACTGCAGACCCAAATGACCGAGAGGGGAAGAAATGTCCTTTCCCACAGTGTTTCTGTCTTAGCATAGGAACTTTGGGTACCCAGGGCAGATGCACCATAATTACAATGGGGTATAAGAGACCTGGACATGAGGACATCGGACATTTCCTCTCTCATCATTGTTCATGCTTCCCTTCTCTCCTGCTTATGTGTTGGCTCTGTGGTTAGGAAACAGTGTACAGTGACCTCTGCCTGCTTCCTATGCTGGTGCACTTGTGCATGTATTTTGTCCCACTGGTTAAAAGTCTTGTCCCTGGAGCTAAGGAAGGGGTCAGGAGAGGGCTTCAGATAACAGGAAGGCTTTTGAAGGCTCAGGAGGATGTGCCATCCCAGATTCTTAGAAAAAAATGAGATCAACCCTGCCCTACAACCTTGATCTATAAAAATTAACTGATCAATCTAACATTGTTATGAAAGTACAGTTGCCCTTGAACAACAGCTGGAGTTAGGGGTACTGACTCCCCCAGAGTCGAGTGAAATCCATGTCCTACCCATGGAATCCACATTTACAGATTCCACCCAGGTACATCTGTGGTAGATTGAATCTGTGAATGTGGAAACTGTACACAGAAAAAATCCACAGGTGACGCCTAAGTTCAAACCATGTTATTCAAGGGTCAACTTTATTCAGTCCAGATCTAACTACTTATAAAGACAACATATTCCTTGCTTGTTTTACACCTTAATTTTGTAGCTGAAGTAGTAATTCTGTCCAGAGACAGTGGTCAGTTGCAAGAGGAGTTTTAGATAAATGTTTACAGGTGTGTGTTGATTCTTCAGTTATACCTGGATGGTCGCTGCTGGCATAGGTCAGCAAAAAACCCCGCCCAGAAATGTGGGATCCACTCTCAAATCGAACAGTTACTTCGCTGGTGTTCAGCCAGAGTTCTTTGGGCACTGTCATACTTCCACAGTAGGGACCTGGGAACAAAGCAGGTGTGTGGCACATGTCAAAATTTAAAGTGGCACAAGAATTGGTATGTGGCATTTTTTTCTCCTTAATGGTCATTTTTACCAGACATATTTGAAAGTTTCTAATTTTCATTCAATCAAAATTTTGCTTAACACTGACACTGATAATTAGAGACTGTGAACTTGATTATACAGACAAGCCTAAGGATTAAAGTGACTGAAATTAGTTCTTTGTGAATCAAGAGATAGGTTTTGGTTTTTGTAAAAGATAGCTAAAAAGCCCTGGCCAAATACATTAGGGAGCAAAGAAAGTTTTCATAAAAATGAAATTCTAGCGGCCTCCTAAATTTGCTCAAAGAAGTCAAAAAAATTAATTCTTCTAATGGAAGTTTCAGAATTAAAAAAATTACCTAATACATGGTAAAAATATCTTATTCTCATACAATTTTCTCATACACATTTATCTCTCTCAAGATAACTTGGTTAATCTATATTGTCTATTTGGTTTGTATGATGAAATTAAAAAAAGAAAATGGGATAAATTTGAAAGGTATTTGAAAAGCATTAGGATAAATTATGCAATTTAAAGTTTACTACATTTAATAGAAAAAGTTGCTTGAGAAACAATTATAAGTTCAATGAACTTTCAAGGAACAAAATAAAAGAAAATAGGACCTTTTTAAGACTACCAAATTAAATTTGAGTTTGTGAATTGTCCTCATGAAAGTCAGGTGTACAAGATATAAAAACTTCTATAACAATGGAATGAGCAAACAAATTTTGAAAATTTCTTTAACAATATCTCCAAAAATAAAATGGCAACAGTCAACAGCAATAACAAAGACAATATCAGGTTAAGGAAGAAGAGGAAGAAAATGATCCCTCCAATTCAACCAGCCAAAACAAACATAAGGATCAAAAAGTTAAAAGATTCAGATCATGAACTAATAATATCCCTCTCCTGGTATAAGGGATTAAATTTCTCCTCTGTTCACCTTTGAAGATGTGACAGAATAAGAAAAATGGATGCTTACTTTTATACCCCAATTTTTATTGTTCCTTATTCTGTTGTTAAATTATAGTAAAATCCAAATGAAAGTGATCACTTTGAGCCACTTATAAATTAGTTTGCAAATTACTTGCAATATTACATAGCATAAAAGTACTATATAAGCATTAAATAAATGAATAAATTAAAAGACAAAGAAGTATTAAATAATAGGCCTGTTTTTCTTCTAGACCATTCTGTGAGGTTAGGAAGTTTTCCATCCATCACTTTTATCACTGGCAGCTTGTAGAGCACCTGCACACAACAGTCTTCCAAATTTTACTTTGGAATGAGATGAAGTTAAATATTCTATTTGCAGTATTTTTTATAAACCAATCCTGATTTGAAGATACATAAAATATTTAATCCTATCATTTTGAAATAGAAGCCAGGAAGAAGTGTGAAGAATCAAAAGAGGAAAGATAATCACTAGTATAATGGATATATAGATTTTTATTAACTAGTAATGCCCACAGACATGACAGGTAGGTAATTTATATCAAATCCATTTTTGCCAAAGTAGAATGACAAGCATTTTTGCCAAATTAAAATAGGTCAGGTTAATGTGCTTGTTATCTGCAACTAAGTCTTAATTTTTAAAAATATACTTTTGCAAAGATAAGTGAAGATACCTGCATTGTAATCCCAAAAGTACAAATAAATAGTAGCCTGTTGCTATGAATAAGTACATTTACCTTTTCTAAGAGGAAATGATAGCATATATACTAGAGCATTCCAATAAGCTCTACTAAAAATCAAGAGGTAATCAAGTTTAAATTATCTGTGAGAGCTTGTTGGAATTTCTCAAAAGATGTTATGGAACAGTTAAAAGTATAGCTTGCAAAATTGATACTTTTTACACAAAAAGATAAGAGTACATGTTATCTCACTACATTATTGTGCAATCAGTATGTTTTCCTAGATCAAAAACATAAATGTAGCAAAACAAACTCGGTTGGGTCATTCCAAATTCATGACAGGCATGTAAAAACTTCTGGAAGAAGTTCAAAGAAAGAAAATGTCAACACACACTCCTTTAATCATCCTTACCCCACGGGACCAATCTCTCTCACATTCTTATAGATAATGTGCTATAAAAATATAGCTAAAACCGACAGGAGATAGGAGATTCCCTTTTTACGTTAAGGCCATTATTAAGTTATTTTGATAGGTTCATCACAGCCCCAGCTATCACAATAGCTGGAGGCAGTTTTAGCCAAGGGTGGGAACAGCAGCAGGTGAGTGCTGGCTGCTGTAGCACCCAGGGCAAAACATCCAAATTACTGCCTGTCTGAAGGGCTCCCAAACAGGAAGATAATGACTATGTTTCTCATGTTAAAAGGCAAAAGAAATGAAATAGAAAAATGTGACAGGCAGAGGGGAAAAAAGAACAGGAAGCCACTGAACTTTCCTATAAGACTATCCTAAGCAATGTCTTCAATTTCCAGCCGAATTCCCTGGACGATGCTATTTCTCCTACAAAAACCTCTCTCCATCCATGCCGGCCCATATGTTATCTTTCATTTTGAGTACTCTCCCTCTTGACTTTTGAAAAGGTCTACAATTTGTACTTGAACATGGCCAAAGCCAGTTCCATTGAACACCCAGAACTCCATGACCATGTCTCCTGTGCCATCCTGGGCGGTGCTTCTAGACTGGCAAACCTGTCCATTCAGACTTCTTGAGTGGCTCAGACCTTCAGCCAACCCACAGATAGGACTCACACTCCAGCATGGATGTTTGCTTTACCACTGGCAGTATGGTTACTTTTCACAGCACTTGAACTTGCCATCGAACTTCCCTCGTTCCCTCATCTCTACCTTGCCTGTGAGGCAGGTTCCATCGTACTTCTCAGTCACACATTCCCGCTAGACTGGGACACAGAAGAAAGACAATTCATCAAGAAAAAAAAAATAACCTCTACTCTTTACTGAGTGAAACTGTTGCCCTGGATTGTGGGATGACCTGCCAGTGATACTAGCTGAAAAGCTTTGTGGCATTTGGCACCAGACATGAGAGCAAAGCCTAGCAGACAATGTGCTGATTGAAATCTTCGACAAAAGGAAAAAAGCAATGGAGCCTCTGGAGTCACCTTCTTTGAGTACAGTAGGCCAGTTCCTCTCAACACACCCCCTGTTTGGAGTTACTGTTCCAGGAGCAGCTGAGAGGGAAATCCTTTATTTTGTCATGTGTGAATCAAAGAAAACTGTCCTAAGAATGAACTGTCTGCCAGACCCAAGCCAGGAACCCCCTTGATCTGGCAGGCTGACAAGCTGGGCAGCCAATATTACTCTGTTGTCCATGGGCTGTCTCTAACATCTCGAGGCAGTAATAGTTTGGTTAACTACTGTTCCAGGTCATCAGGTGATCTTGCAATTGATGAGACTAAGTTATTGTCTCATCTGTGACAGGGACATTTTTAATAAAGGGGGTATACATGCTATTATACAACAGAAATGGTATCTTTCCGTTTCTACCTCCCTTCAAAATTATGCTTTTAGCGGTGAAAAACACAAAAGGAAAAAAACCACAACTGTTGACAGGGTTTCCTTTCATTCATCAAATGTAACAGAATCTCCTTCATTAACCCAGCACCTTCTGAAGCACACATTTAGTTTCTCAGGACAGAGAAGAACATGGTAAGGAGCCTAAGTGATGCACCCTGCGAGGACCATACAGACTCAGCTGACAGGGGAAGGGTGCTGGTGAAGCTGAGGCCATGCTCTCCACATACCGAGCTGCAGGCAGCAGACTGTGTCCCTTTGCCATTTGTTTTTTCCTTGCAGTCAAATGACAGGCTTGGTCCTTGATTGCTAATTGCAATCAGGTCATTATGCAGAGTAACATTACTTTCAGGGCCATTTTCTTTGAAAAGGAGGAACATTAACATAAAAAAGAGATATTCCTGGACTGTGGCATTAAAACCACAGTCACGTAAGAATGTAAGAATGTAAGCAGTATCCCTGGAGAGTTTGAGTCTCTGGTTCCCAGACAAAAATCAGTGACAGATGATAAATGAACCAGTAGATTCCTAAACAAAGGTGCAGCTTTCCTGGCGGTTATGAGACCCAACAAGGTCAAGAAGTGCTTTCACACTGGTGCTCAAAGACCCACCTAGACCATTATTTTGCTACCCCCGCCCCCCCAAAAAAGGTAATTACTGAAACTAAATCACAGTACACTCCTGGGAACTATTTGGGAGAAGGAGAGTAGGCTGAAAGCTTCTTCTCCTTGAAGTTTAAGATTATGTTCATAAAATATCTTCTGTGGAACAGTCTGGCTGACATAATCTTTATAAATTTTAGATTCTTTCTGAATTCTCTCTTGGCATATAAAGCAACACAAAACAAACAAAATGCAGCTCTCAAGAATTTCCACTAACGTTTTTCCAGTGATAGGGCGATTAATATTTTTAGGGTGTCTGTGGCATAAAATAATGACAAAAAGTTGGAAATTTCTTTTATCTTTAGAAGCCATAAGAATTTTGCATTACCCATAATATATCTATGAGAAATTAAAAAATTGCAAAATAAAGGCTATGAATCTTGCATTCCTCCCTATTTGGGATTTTTATAAAAATCACTAGACAAGCCCTAATGATTAGATCTTATTTCATTTGCCAGATATGAATCATTTTAAAGTATTATCACAAAAATCTAGTTGCAATTATGAGTCAAAACACTTTGTATTATTTCCTACTTTTCCCATTACTCTTGTTCCTAGTGCAATATAAATATCAACAGCTGACTTTATACTGTTATACTTTTAAGTCACAGACAATGGTTAAAAACATATTTGAGGCGGAGGTGGAAGTCCAGGAAATGTAAGAGAACAATTCTTGAACTTCCTGGTTTTCCTACAGTGCAAATCATTTAGCCGAACACAACTAAGACTTCTTTCTATGACTGACTCTGGTGCCTTCTTAGCCATTTTGACCAAGGAGCCTCTTCTAAGCCTTAAA